GAATAGGGGTTCTGTCCTCAATCAGCATTCCTTACTACAGCAGCCCGACTGTATTCTTTCGCGCCAGATCCGCTCTTGATGGCCGAGGAGCGGAAACAACAAACCGAAGGTCGAAGTCTAGGATCAGACCGCCGGCGCTTGAAGATCACATCGACGGAATTCCGGCCGTCGTGGTTTGGGCCTCCTGGCAGGGCGAGCGACCCTCGCTTCCTGGAGTCCCTGCTGGCGGAGCTCCGACGCGTGCCGCGGGCAGCCGTGGCGCAGATCCACACCGTCCAGGAGCAGACGCAGGAGACGCGCCCCCGCCCATTGCCGCGGCCATGGCACCTCCTCTGAGGCAGCTTACAGCGGAAGCCCATGCCTCGAATGTAGGATCAATGAAAGAATTGATTTACTCAGGCCGGGGGTGGTAGCAGTCAGCTGCGCCTCATCGAGAGCGCTTTGGAGGGGGTGCCAGAATCGTCCCAAACGGCCGCAGCAGGCCGGAGCTATGGCCTGAAAACTTCTCGACTCTGGGGTAACGGTACAGGGTGGACACAGTGGAAACCCACGCCAAGAAACACTTTGCTTGCCTCCAGCGTGCCCTGGGTTTCTTGGGTTTCGATGGTTTTGCTATGGAAAGCGTGACGTTCCCCCATCAAAAATCAATGGACGTCCTGGTGCCCCAGGGTTGGGTTTCTTGTGGAAGGTTTCTTGTGGTCGAGCTCCTCCTGTAGGCTTCGAATTTGCTTAGTGGAGTTTCGAAGGTTCCCGATGTTTGTTCGAAAGGTCTGCGGAGGTTCTTGGAGGTGCGGGGCGTTTTTCAGAATGGCTTTCGCACGTGTTGGGATATTCTCGTAGGCCTGCATGTGTTCTAAGGTATTCGGGTTTTGTTGTAAGGTTTCCGACCACTCTTTCGATAGTTTTCGGAGGCCGGGGGTATCAGTCAGCTGCGCCTCGTCGCGGGCGTTTTGGGGGTGCCAGAATGGTCCCGAGAGCTATGGCCTGAAAGTTTCTCGGTTCAGGGGCAAGGATACAGGGGAGAGTGACAGGGAAAACCGAGGTGTAGAGCGTCCGCCGAAACGGACACTAGCCGCTGGGGCAGAGGAGGCCGTGCCTCATGGCGGCCCTGGGAGGCCAGCGCCGCCCTCGTAAAAGCGCACACGGGTGCGCGCGAGCCGCACCGCCACCTCGGCTAGAGCAGCAGAGCGCCGAGCCTACCCCACACGACGTGGTGGCCGCGGCTCGCGTCCAGCGAGGACCTCGTCCCTGAAACGAGTCTGGCTCGACGACGCCTCTCCCGCACACGTGGCGAGCAGCTTTCGCCAGGTCGGGGCCTCGATCTGACAGTGCGCCGCGCATCGGCGGCAAACAAGGTAGCGGCCAGCTGGCCGCACGATGTGCCCTTTGAACTCGAAGGTCGCAGGGGTATCCATCGGGGACTCAGCGGAGCCCTCGAGCCCCAGCTTAAAGAGTGCGGCCTTGATGGCATCACATCGAGCCCTAGGGAGGGCCCCTCCGTGCCGCCAGGCCCGCACAGCAGAGAGGCGTGAGTGGAGCGCGGTCGGCCTGCAGTTCGCGCCAGGCTGCTCCCGCTTCTGCCTGCTCAGAGGCGTGCGCGCCGAGCAGTGGCACCACGTGCAACGAACACCTCCCGACACCCCCTCCACCGCCTCCAGATCGTGAGGAAGCAAAGCGACTTGTGGCACATCTCCACCTCGAACTCTGGCTGGGATCGGCACCTCTGGGGCAGGGGCGGCGGTCTGCTGCGCAGCTCTCGACAGGAAATCCAGCGCACGATAGCAAACCGTGAGCGACTCTCGGAGCTGAGTCGTCCGAACCTTGGGGAGCTCGTGTTCGGCTGGCCCCAATCTGGCAAGGAAATCGGCCCAGGCATTGCTGATGCAGTCGACGACACTTGGGCCTTAGGCCCAGAACCTCGCCGCCAGTCGATTGGTCCTCGGACCTGCTCAGCGTCTCGGTGGGCAGGGGTCCAGCGGAGAGTAGGCCTCCCAGGCCTGGTACGATACAGCTCAGACGCTTGACGCCATATCGAGGCGTGCTTGGCCGAGCCCGCGGCCAGGCCTTGGTCCAAGGACAATTCCTTCCCGCGCCGCAGACATCTGGTCCGAAGCAGCTTCGGGGCCCCACTGCCCGACGCGCAGAGCATGGGGGAGAGCCTGGCGTTCCGCACGCGGAACTCTCGGACTGGCCCCGCAAGGGCCCCGTAGTCAGACCTCATGGGCCAGCCCCCAGGGGACAGGGAAACAACGAAAACCAATCAAAATAACACAAGTTTTGTATATGTGGACTTTTTTAATGAATTCTTATGAAATTTAAAGATATTTGAATGAATTTAAATGATTTTGAATCAGAAAAATGGCGGACCAGCCACGCCTGGTGGTTTCAAGGGTTCTCGACGCCAGGCCATTGTCAGTGTGATGGCGAACGCCAGGGCGCGCTCACCGCACCCCAGGAGAGCACCACCGTGTTGTCCGGCCACAGTCCCAGTCTGGACGGGGACGGACGGCAAACCATAAACCAACTGTTGCGAGAGTCGAAATCGGGGGGGATGCCATGCGCCTGCCCCTTTAGCCGTTCACGGTGCTCGAGACAATCATGTGGCATCAGTGGGCCTGCGTCTGGGTCTTCGCTCTCGGCCCAGAGCCCCTTCACCTGCGCAACATTGGTGGCCAAGCGTGCCCGGTGGGTGCCCACAAGGCACTTGCTGCTGGCCGCGTGCCCGCGCTGAAACGGGCGCACGGCTGGACACGTGGCCCCAGCCCACAACTCCCACAACTCCCTGCAGCTTCTGAAAACCGAGCCTCGGAGCCCTCATCCAAACAACTTCGTGCCCTTGGGCCTCAGGAAGACCGGGCGCAATCTGGGCCCCGTGAGCTCCGCTGAGGCCAGTTTTCAAAAGAAGCTTAACATCACGCGGCGAGGTCCGAAAAAGAGAGATGATCTGCTGTTGATCAGACCTGACGTGGCGCGGGCCTATCAGCTTCCACCCCACGCGCTGCAACGACAAGATGACGGCTCCCATGGGCCCCCTGACCTTCGACCAATGGGGCTTGTCACGCAGGGCCTGGGGCGCCGCTTCCCGCGCGCACCTGAGGCCCGAACCCCGGGCTCGACCGTCCCAAATCCAACGGCAATGCCTGAGCGCAAGGGGAACGGTCGCATCAAACGCTGGGTCGCGCGATGGGTCGCGGCGCGCACTCATATTAGGACGTCGCGTGATTGTTGCACTTTGTTCCCATGGGCGACGCTGTAAGCGCTCTCGAGCTGCGGAGAGAAGCGCCAGCGACGCCTGAGGCTGCAGCGCCATGGCTGCCGCGCGGCATGAGCCCCGTCTTCCAGGGCCCCGCCGCCCTCTCACGCCCCGCCGCCCGTCGCAGCGATCACGAACGAGGTTTCCCGAGGCCCAGCTCCGCGCGCCGCCGCACCTCTATCGCGCGAAGGGCGCGCCTGCCGCGGAGATCGCGACCCAGGTTGCGCATGCGCTTCTGGCGCCGAAAACCGATCGAGCGGCCTGCCGGGGCAGCGTTTTCCCGGGCGGCCACGCGCGGCGCAGCGCGCCCAGATTTGTGCGGCCGCAAGAGGAGGCCGATCGGCGCAACCTCGCGACAGAGCTCGCGAGTGGCAGCACATGCAATATCAGCTTCATTATGGTCGGCCTCTTCCCACTGGAGAGACGCATCATCCATGGGCGGCCCTCTCCGTCGGGAAGCGTGGGATCGCGCTATAGACAGGTTGGCTGAGCGCCGCAAGTATCGCGGCCAACGCAGCGGAGCACCCCGCGCGACTGCCTTGGAAATTGACGCAGGCTTCCAACAGTGACCCGCGCGCGTCGACCCCTCCAGGGGCCGCGCAGCCCTGGGTGATCGCCCGGCCCATCCTGAGCGGGAAACCAACCTGCCGAGAAAAAATATAATAATTTTGAAAGTTTCATCATCTCGCCCCTCCCCTACCTCAGGAGAGAGGAGGACGTGCACGTACATGAATCCGCGCTGGTTTCGAGAGTACGCGTTGCCCGAATGTTCGTATCACGCGGCCAGTCTCGCGGATCGAGGGGCCGTGTTCATGTGCATATCTGGGCGCGTACGTCCTTTGCGGGCTCCCTACTGCCCGCCCCCCAGAACTCCTCAGTCCCGGTGGTAAGCTCCCGCCTTCGGGTCTCGGGCGCGCGCTGGCGGCCCCGGGCGGGGACGAGGGAATCGAGGAGGGCCATCGGCCCAGGGCCCCCGTCTGCCTTCGGAAGGCGGACCAAGCGGCTGACCATGCGCTTCGTCGGCCAGCTGCCCGCCGTCTCGCGGCCCACGAGGAGGGCAGCCACCGCGTCGAGCAGGCCGTCCGACAGACACTGCAAAGACCGAGGGTGGATGATCGAGCATCCGATATCTGTGCGTTCGGGGAATTTGGCAATCGCCGCCCCCATGTCGGAAACCATAATTTTCGGAAGCGACGGCCAACCATCGAAATCGGGCGGGTGATCGGGCGCTCGGCATCTTCGGGTCGACCAGACTTTGGCCCACTTGGAGCGCGTCGCATCAGCCAGCTCGCGCAGCTGCGCTCGCTCGGTGGCCTCGATCGTCTCCCGTGGCCCCCGGATGCTGGAAATCCCAAGCGCTTGCCGAGCGACGCCCGAAAAATTGGCCCGCCCCCAGGCCTTCCACGAGCCCCCCCCTCTGCGCAAGGAAACTGGCCTGGCGGGGCTCAGCCTGGCCCGGGATTTGCCGAATCAGATCGCCAGTCGCTGGATCGCCAAAGACCGCCGTGCCTGACAGAGAAGGCGCGGGTCCGAGGATCCAGCCCCAGCAGCGCCCTGCCGCGCTTCGCCACGTTCCGCACGAAGGCCTGGGCCTCGTGCAGCAGCCGCGCCACTCTCCCCAGCCCGCGCTGCTGCTCGTCGCATTCCTCCCTCAGCCTGGGGACGCACATCTTTCCTGCGAATCTGTCGGGCCTTGCGCGCCGCCGAACGTCGCGCCGATTTGGTCGCGTCCGCCCGAGGCCGCCGCGTGCGCGCCGCGGACTTGACCCGCCGCCAGACTACCTCACGCGGCCCAGCACGCCCCTCGCAGAACTTCCCCGCGGGTTCCCATGCATCATACCCATCGGGCAACTCTTGCTCGATGCCAGAAACCGCCCGATCCCAGAATGCTGCCATCTCGTCGCCAGCGCGCGCGCATTCGATCGCGCACAAAGCCAGACCAGTCCCTGGGGTTGCGCGCGCAGCCTGGTGGCGCCACAACTGACGCCGTCTTCGGCTGGCACGGCACACGCACCCACGCGGCAGCATCTGGCCCTCGCAAGTGCACGACAAGTGGGCGATGAGGCGTATATTAGCTGACAAGCACACCTCTAGGGCCGTCGTGTGAATGACCGATCCTGGGAGGCCGCGCGCACGCCGCAACGCCCCCTTCAGCTGCCCTGGTTGGACGTCGAAGTCCGCCTCCACGATCCAGTCCTAATCCACGGCCTACGCGCGCTGGATGCGATTGGCAGCTTCCGTCAAAAGAGCCACATTGTTCGGCCCAAAGAGCGCATCCACCCAGGGGTCTGCCGATAACGCCGATACGACAACGAAGCCGACCTTCACCCTCCCGCGCGCAGGGCCCGCCGCGGCCCCGCGCTGGACCAGCGCCCCCGACGGGCGCAGGGCGGCCGAGTGATCTGCGCGTCCGTCGGACGCAGCACCGCAGCCCCTCCTCTCGACCCCTTGCCCCCCGGGGCCGCCGCGGCATCCGCTGCTGCCCAGACACAATGATGAAGACAAAGAAACACACGGACACAATTAATCGTCAACCCCCAGGAAAATATAGGAAAATATGGGACGTGGGGGGAAAGACAAAAACCCAGAAACTATTGGAACATATAGAGAATCCTTTTATTTGTGTGCATTTATGTGTGTCCTGGGGCCCGTTTAACAATGATAACCCGCCGCTCGAAGTCTCGATTGGAATGCCCCAAGCTCATCCTTGAGATGGCGCTCCTGACAGCATGGCACGCTCGGAACTGCCCCTAGCGCCGGCTGCTTCGACTCCAGCAGCTCGGCCAGGTGCCCGTGAGAAGAAGCGTTGACCGTAACGACCTGCTTCATCAGCGCTGCCGCAACGATCCAAAACTTAAAGCACATCACACCTCTGCTTCTCAGCGAAACTCGCGAGGTTCTCGCCAGCGCGCTTGGCCGCGTCGCGCAGCTCGCCGTCTCCGCCTGGCACCTGCGCGTTGACAGATTGCGCGGCGCGGCTGCTCAGCTTGGCGCGCCGCCTCCGCCGCGCGCGCGCCTCCGCCGGGCAGCCGCGGAGCCGCTCCGCCAGCCCCCCCGCCCCGCCGAAGGAGGACAGCCCCGGCCGCGAACTTATCCGACAGGGCGGGCAGCATCTGAGCCAAGGAGGGCGCGTCGTTCTGGCTCGGCCTCGGCGCCCGCGCGACCAGCCGGCGGCGCTCCCCCTCCAGCTCCAGGAGCACCGCGCAGAGGCGGCCCTGCTGAGCGCGGGCCTCCTCGACGGCCAGCCCCGCCTCGCGCGCCCTCTCGCGGAGGTCCGACGCGCGCGGCCCCCGCCTCTCTCGCTTTTCTCTCCTCCAGCTTCCGGCGCGAGAAAGAGATCTCCTGGAGCTTGGCGTCGGGGCTCTTGCCCGCGAGCCCACTTCTTTCGCGTCTCCGCCCGGCGGGCCCGCGGCCTCTCTCGGGCCCCGACCAGTTCCGCGCGCTCGGGCGTCTCGGGCGCGGCCGAGGCCTCCGCGACCTCCGCCGGCCCCCGCTCAACATTCAGGAGGGGAAAATATGGGAAAATATGGGAAGTGGGGGGGAAGACAGAAACCCAGAAAATATGGGAAAACAGGTGGATATTTTTATTTGTGTGTATTTATTTGTGTGTTCCAGTTCCCCTTCAAACGTCCCCGTCGCGCCCCCTGCCGAGGTCGACGACCTCCGTGGCAGCGGGCCCCTCGATCAAGGGCAGGAAAAACGCCCCTCCTCCTCCTCCTCCTCCTCCTCCTCCTCCTCCTCCTCCTCCTCCTCCTCCTCCTCCTCCTCCTCCCCTTCCTCCTCTTGCTCCTCATCCTCCTCCTCTTGCTCCCTCCTGCCTCCTCCCTCCTCCTCCTCCTCCTCCTCCTCCTCCTCCTCCTCCACCTTGGGTTGCGAGGCGCTGTGCGCTGAAACTCCTGTGCGCTGACAGGGTAACCCTGCGCGATGTGCCGCGCCCTGGCGGCTCTAGGCTTGGGGGTTTACACGCCGCGCACTTGTAACCCAGGGTAGGGCCGTGAGGAGGAGGGGGAGGAGACGGGGGAGGAGGAGGAGGAGGAGGAGGAGGAGGAGGAGGAGGAGGAGGAGGAGAAGGAGGAGGAGGAGGGGGAAAGGGAGGGGGGGGGAGGGGGACAGGGGGGGGGGGGAGCCCAGGTAGACGCAGTGCGGCCTGCACGAAACCCCCCGGTAAAGCGACAGGAGAGGACCCAATGCGGCCTGCACGAACCCCCCCGGTAAAGCGGCAAGGGGGGGGTGTTCTAAGCCGCTGGCGGCACCCGGTGCGGGCTGCACGAATACCCCCGGTAATGCACGAAGCCCCCCGGTAGTGCTGGGGGGGGGGTCGTGCCACGGCGCACCGCCAACATATATATGAGAGAGAGTGTCGCGTCGGTGCGTCTCGGCGTTGCCATGGCGCATTTGGGAGCATCATGCGGGGGCGGATAGTAATCATCACCGCATATTTGGACGTTGGGTTATTCTAGCGGCCTTCGGCCCAGCCCGCCCCCGTGTTTGTATCAAGAACGTCCACAGCAGTTCACCGCGTGGACTGACACCGCCTATGCCGGTTGCAAGATGGCACGTACATCGACAAGCGGAGGAACAGCCATGGGGGATCACATGTGATAAAATTTTGGAGTTCGACTCAGAGTGGAATGGTGTTATCTACTGGAAAAGCAGAATATTAGGAACGGTGGAAGGCGGCTCAGCAGCGTTAGTACTACAAGCAGTTTTCAGAGACTTCGATGTTGATTGTGGCATCTCGTTAAAGCGCGATGCCAGCGCAGCAATTGCCACTGTTAGCTGGCGAGGATTAGGAAAAGTCAGACACATCGAAGCTTGCCAGTTGGGGTTTCAAGAGAAAGAGTGCTACGAATATTCATCAAAGTGATAAAGAAGGAACTCATGAGAACCTTGCCTATGCGTTGGCTAAACATGTGAGCGGTGACAGCATGTCCATGCATACGCGGGGCACCAATCAAAAAAACGTTAAAGGAAGGCGATTTGGCGCCCGATTCAGAATGTTAACTTACTACATATCCGGGTTATCACCGCGTGCCGTTTCACCAGATAGTTGATTGAACACAAGATCAGTTGAGGTTTAAGTGTTCGTGCGCACTCGTACACACACCCACGCTACATCATATGTTAACGTTGAGCATACCTTTTGGTGCTCTGCGACATTCAAAAACAGCACACCGCGTGTTAGGAGGCCCCTGCACCGTTACGCCTTAACCGTCCTTGCCTTCTGCTTGCGCTGGTTCTAGTTCGCCCGAGGCGGTTGCGGTAATCAAGTGATGGTTGCGATGGTTGTGATAGTGTCATTTTCTGACTTGCTATAGCATGGGGTCCTGGCTTCATTGTACTGCGTACTGTTTGCGAATATTTCCGTTGCCCCGTCTGTTTGTTGTCGTCTTTCCCCGGCCAGATTGGCCGAGGGGGGGGGCGTTTGTTTTGGTTGAGGGTGGTGCATTTGTCCAGGATTTGGGCAGCAGGGCTGATGTTAGGATTCCTGTGAAATCGATTCGCCTCAAGGAAAACAAGACCCGATCATACTTTCAGGAAGAGGAGGAGGAGGACGAGAAGGAGGAAAAGGAGGAGGAGACGAGCGGAAGCGGAGGTGGAGGCGGAGGAGCACGCGAAAGAGGAGGAGGAGGAGGAGGAGGAGGAGGAGGAGGGGGAGGAAGAGGAGGAGGAAGAGGAGGAGGAAGAGGAGGAGGAGGTTAGAGGCAGAGGGGAGGAGTGTGAAGGAGGGAGGAAGGGAGGGAGGGAGGGAAGTGCGGAGGAGGAGGAGGAAGAGGAGGAGGAGGAAGAGGAGGAGGAGGAGGAGTAAGAGAAAGAGTAAGAGGAGGAGAAGGAGCAGGAGCAGGAGGAGGAGGAGCAGGAGGAGGAGGAGGAGGACGACTGGGAGGAGGGATGGAGAGCACTCCTCTTCGCCCTTCCCCCTCGGCAGGACCTGGAACGCATCAGCCGCGCCGCGCTTGCGGAGCTGGCGGGGGGCCACGAGGAGTACGCCTCGAGCGGCGGCGCAACAGCGCGGGCCGCGCTCATCGGCTGGGGGGGGAGAGGGTCGAGGATCGATGGGGGTCCGAAGATCGAGGATGAAGAGGATGAAGAGGATCGAGGTGGGGGAGGAGGAGTATGAGGAGGAGGAGGAGGAGGAGGAGGAGGAGGAGGACGATTTTTCCCCACGCAAACACACCATCACAGACAGGCTTGATTACGAGATGTCTGGTGTTGTTGTGGCACAAACGAATGCTGCAAAGACAGGAATGCGTCTCTTCAGCTGGATGTTGGCTGTAATGAAACATTGGAAATTCATCGAAGTTGCAATGAAAATCGCTAGTACAGTCAAAGGACTATCGACATGGTTCGGGTGCAGCTGCCAGGCAGACCAGACTTCAGAGGCAGTAGCGCCCTCCCCGAGGGCAGGGCAAGAGTAAACAGCGAAGCCGGGGAACCGACAAAGAGGTGGGGGGCCAAGAGGGGGGACAACCCGGACGGCGGGGAAGTCGGGAGGGCGACGAGTATTTCGCCCGACGATTCATTTATGGACTGGGCTGCAAGAAAGGAGCCCAATTCTTGCTGCACTAGTGCCTGCTGGCGTCTGGGGCGACCCCGGCATCTACCAACGCAAGTACCGCATTGCATATGTCGCTTGCGTCGATATTGATATCGCGGTATAAATGGCAGCTTTCCGCTGCGTCCACGCTGGCCATGGACCGCAGAGTCAAGAGAAGCTCCAACCCTTGCTCGTAGGCTGCTTTCAGATCTGCCGACAAGCACCGCCATTGACAATTGAGCTGCTGCGCGACAAACAGAGAGTCCACTTGGAACAGCACGGGCCGCGTGGGGTGCTGAAGCGCGTGGCGGACTGCAAGGTGGAACCCAGCATGCTCCGCGTAATTTTTAGTGGCGTCACCCAGAAACCTGCCGACATGAGGCAACGGCGGAGGAGGAGGAGGAGGGGGAGGAGGCGGAGGCGGAGGCGGAGGAGGAGGCGGAGGCGGAGGCGGAGGAGGAGGCGGAGGCGGAGGAGGAGGAGGAAGAGGAGAAGGAGGAAGAGGAGGAGCAGGAGGAGGAGGAGGACGAAGACGAGGACGAGGAGGAGGAGAAGGAGGAGAAAGAGGATACAGAGGAACAGGAGGAGGGGGAGGAGGCAAGCTAGGTGCGGTCGCGGCGTGTCTGACGTCCTATCCCTCCTTCCCACCTCTTACCATGGCATACTTCTTTCTATTTGCACAGTCGGATGTCGTAGCATGGCACGGCATTACATTGCATAGCATGGTGTTGAAGATCAACGCGTAGCATGACATAGCATGGCGTGGCGACGCTCCATCGTGGGGGGGCTTCTGCGGCCCACAAAATCAACAAGTCGACAGCGAATGTGTAATACTTCTGATCGTTGTTTCGGGAGGCCATTTCCTAGATTTGGGGTCCTCTTTCGAAGGACCGAAAACTATGCCGTGGCATGGCACTGGAAATAATGACGCCAACGCTGCAGCGGGAGCACGATTCGGGCCGAGCGGAAGCGCAGAAATGAGGCCAGCGCTGCAGCGGGAGCACGATTCGGAACGAGCGGAAGCACGGAAATGAGGCCAGCGTGTCAGCGGGAGCACGATTCGGAACGAGCGGAAGCGTGGAAATGAGGCCAGCGGTTCAGCGGGAGCAACGTTCTGGAATAAAACAAGCAACAGCCCAATTCCCAGGGAATCCTGTGTATAAGAAACAGTACTCGGAGGGGGGCCGGATATCTCCCGGACGTCATCAGGGGAGAGAGGAGAGTAGTATTCATATTGTGTAATTGTGGAAGGAGAAAAGAGGAGGAGGAGCAGGAGGAGGAAGAAGAAGAAAAATAAGATGAAGGAGAAGAAGAGGAGGAGGAGGATCGAGGAGAGAGGATCTCATGGGCAGCGTTCGAGGCCCGAGGTTTTCAGATGTCATCGTCGGTTCCCGGCGGTTTTCCAGCCTCGGGATGCTCTCCGCCGGCTGCGCCGTGCCCATAGCGCCCTGGGGGTCCCAGGCCGTCCCAAACGGCTGGCGGAGGCCTGGTTGACGCAACTTTCGGGGAAGCGTAAGACCCGGGTTTTCCAGGACTCGGGTTCGCCATCGTTTTTTGACGACCGCGATTCGGATTTTGATGAGTAGGAGTTTCGTGGGATGTCTGCAGCGGGAGGCCTCGTCAAAATGCAGGCTCGGCCTCGTCATTTTTTTGACGACCTCGTCGGGGATGTCCGAGTCCCCCGTACCCGGGTCTTACGTCTCCCCGAAACTTAGGAACCCATCGTTTCTTCGAACATGCGGTTCCCACTGCAGACATCTTCTCAACGGGACGCGTTTGCGCCCGTACAGCAGGTTAGCGATTCAGATCGGTACGGCAGACCAGCATGGCAGATCACAAGAGCAGCAGACCAGCACGGCTCGCGCCAGCACCACGACAGATCACGCCAGCATTGAGTCGGGCATGTCCCTGCACAGGAGAAATACTCTAAGAAATAGCCTGATGACGATGTTTCGTGCTCTTCTGACTAATCCGGGTTATGTTTGATCGTTCTCGAATATTTTCATTTTTTTTTTTTTTTTTTTTTAGAAAATCGCCTGTAGGAGGACATGCTCGACCTAACAGTAGAACAGAGCAGCACGGCGCATCACGGCACGGCAGACCATCTCCGCAGCAGCATTGCAGACCAGCACAGCAGACCACAGGAGCATGACAGACCAAAATGGCACGCCGCCCCGCCCTGGGCCAAAGGAGGGGCGCGGGCCCCGCCCAAGGCCGATGGCGAGGTCTGGGTCGACCAGCCGCGCGGGCGCCGTGCCCAGCGGCAGGCGCGAAGCGCGGCCAGGGCCGCGTCGGCCAAGTCGTCAGACGTCCGCCGCCAGCGGCGCGCCCTCCAGCGGCGGTGGCGCCACGGCGATCGAGCGGCTGCAGGCGGCGGTCGAGCAGCTCGAGGGGCCCCTGGCGGCGCCGCCAGACGGGGTCGACGGCTGCTTCACCGACGTTGTGGCCAGCCAGCTCGAGGCCAAGCGCAGCCAGCTGGCCCAGGCGGAGCGAGAGGCTGCCGAGCAGAAGGCGTCGCCGCTCCCACGGTCAGCTCTGCTGCACAAGGAGGCCAACGCCATCAGCAAGGCAGAGAAGCGGATGCGGGCAGCCCGCAAGACCTTGGAGGAGAAGCGGGCGGCCCGCGACCTCGCCGAGGCCCAGCTCCAGAAGGCGCAGGAGGAGTTGGCCACTCGAGGGCGAGGTGGAGGAGGCAGCCCGCGCCCTCCAGGCCCTGGAGGATGCAGCTCGAGATGAAGAGGAGGCTCTGCGGCGGCAGCGAGCCTCCCAGCTGGCCACGCCCAGCCATATCCCAGGGCTGCTCACGCAGCTCGAGAAGTTGCCCGAAGCCTGGCGGAGCAACAACTTCGAGGTGGCGTGGGCGGCGATTTGCGCCCAGATGGCTGCGGTCCGCTCGCATCTGGAGGGCCCCCATGAGCGGCCTCGGCGCGAGCGCTGGGCGGAGAGCTGCCCAATGGAGGACCCCACCAGCAGCGGCGACGAGCCTGCGCTCGCGGCGACGCCTGGGGGCCGCGGCCCGCAGCCGAGCTCGGCCAGGGAGAGCGCCGCGGCGATGCGCAGGGCGACTGGCCGCACGTGGCCGAGGCCTGCAGACGCGAGCTGGCGGCCGAGGCTGCTGACCTGGCCCCTCTGGTGGCTCCTGTTGGGGCCCGCAGTGCTGGAAGCCAAGGCGGCGGGCCCCCGCCCGGGCAGCCTGGAGTTTAGCCCTGCCGCCGACGCCGCCCGCATTGGCGGCGGCAGGGGGCAGCTCCCACCGGTGCCAGGAGAGGCAGCAGCAGCCAAGCGGCAGGTCCGCAGCGGCCTGGAGGTCCTGGGGATCAACGGCAGCACGTGGCACCGCAGCCTGGAGGTCCTCGAGGCCTTCGTGAGCCGCGAGGGCTCGCGGCCCCACCTGGCGCTGCTCCAGGAGACCCGCCTGGCCCCGCACCAGCTGCGGGCGGCGCGCGGCAGGCCCGAGGGCTTGGGTTATGCAGCCTTCCTCCACGCCTCGGCCGCGACTGACAAGGATGGGCCGCTGGCGCACTCTAGAGGCGTCGGCGCCCTGGTCCGCGACGACCTTCAAGGAGGCAGGGTGGACTGGCAGGCCCCTGGCGACCTCCGACGCTGCATCATCGGGGTCGCGGTCGCGGCTGCTTCTGGGCTGGAGTTGCCAGCGCGCCCCCTCTACCTGCACGACGGGCTGGGCCCCGGGGGCGTCAACGTGGACGTCTTCGCCGCCTTCGGGGACATGGTGCCCACCGCGGGGCTGCATGGGCTGGCGCAGGGGGACTTCAACATGGAGCCTGGCACCTCGCACGAGCTCGGCTAGCCCAGCGTGCAGCGCGGGGCGCACCTCGGGCCGTCGGAGACCGCGCGCAGGGCTCGGAAGGGGCTGAGCACGTGCACGATTGGTTCGCGAGCTCATACTGCCTCGCCCACGGGGTCGCGGAGGCAGCTGCACTGGATGGGTTCGCGCTCTTCCCCCACAAGCCAGTGCGCTTGCTGCTGCAGGACGTCAGGCCCGACGCGCTGGTGCAGGTGCTCGTCCGCCCTGGGCGTTTCCCCGACGTCGGCGCCGACGACTGCGGCGAGCGCGGCGACGCCATGGCCCAGGGGCACCGCCGCGTCGGGCGCGCCAGGTGGAAGGCGCAACCCTGCAGCTGGAGCTGGGAGGTCGGCCCCCTCCCGCCCGACCCGCCCACGGCGGCTCGCCAGTGGACGGAGGCGGCGGAGGGCGCACTGGTCGGGATCCACGGGGTCCAGCCCGAGGGCTTCAAGCGTTACCTTGGCAGAGCGGCGGGGCCCAGGCGTGTCCTCGAGCCCCTCAGCGCCGCGGCGAAGCGCGAGTGCCGCCACTGGCACTCGGCGCTCGCGCACGCCGCCCGCCAGGCGCTGGGCCCGGCGCTGCAGCGACCGACGGCCGAGCGGACGCAGAGATGGCACCCCCCCCACGAGCGCTGGTGCGTCCTCCAGGCCGAGCGCGCGACGCACCTCCTCGAGGAGACCACCGCCGCGGCCTGCCAGGAGGATGAGGTCGAGACCCTCAGCTTCGACGCCAGCGAGCGGGGCGACCTGGTCAGCCAGGCGGGGGTGCTCGGGCACGGCGGCGCCATCCAGGCCCTCCAGCTGCGCCTCGCGGCCCCCCAGCGCCGCGACGGCGCCGGGAGCGCGGCGACCTGGCGGGCCCGGGGCAAGGGGGCGGCCCAGCGCGGGGACAGGCTGGCCCGCAGGTTCGCGAGGGCCGCGCCGCCCCCGAAGGGTGTCGACCCCGCCGCGGGCAGGCCGCTGGCGGGCACGCTGGCCGTCGAGCTGGAGGCGAACTGGCAGAATCTGCGGCGGCAGGACGGGCTCGCCGCAGATGCAGGCGTCGGCGGTTGGGACATCCAGGGCTGGGAGATGCCTCCCATCGCGCTCGCGATGCTGCAGGTAGCCTGCAGGCGCTACTCGCCGACTGCGGGCCTGGGGGCCGACCAGCTGCATCCACGGCAGTTGGTGCTCCTGCCCGTGGCCCTGCAGCTGAGGTGCCTGGACCTCCTCGCCGCCTACGAGGAGCGGCCTCAGGCGTTGGGGGCGCTCGCGACCACGATGGCGTTTGTCCCCTGGGCCGATCCAGTGGCGCGGCCGATCGCCCTCCCCCCGCTCTTCCCCCGCTTCTGGGGCCGCCTCAGGCAGCCCGTCTGTGCGCCGTGGGGGGCGGAGCACGACCATCGGTTCTTCTGGTGCAAGGTGGGCCCCACAACCAGTTCGCGGTCTTCGCCCGCGAGAGCGGGTTTGCCTCGGCCAGCCTCTTCCTGGACATCACGAAGTACTACGAGAACCTGCGGCGCGGCGTGCTCTGGGGCTGCGCCATCGAGCACGGCTTCAACCTCCGCCTGCTGCGGGGGCTGCTCGTGATGCACCAGAGCCCCAGGTTCATCGGCTTCGTTGGCCTCGCCCCAGACGTGTTCGGCACGTTGGGCACAGTGTCGGCGGGCTGTGCGCGTGCAACTACGGTTGCCAAGCTGCCTGTGCTGGGGGCGCTCCGCGCCGCTTCTGCGAGGGGCAGGCCTTTGGTTGTGGCCCGCAACGTCGTCGACGACATCGCGCTGCAAGCCGTGGGCACTGAGAGGCCGGTGGCCGCCCAGCTCGGCAGCGCAGGGGTCGAGGTCGCTCAGCTCCTAGGGGAGCGGCACCTCCCCCTCAGTGCTGCCAAGACGTCGTTCCTCGCCTCCAGCCCAGGCCTGGCGCGGCTGCTTGGGGGGCGCTGGCAGGCTCACGGCTGGGAGTTTAAGCGCGCCGCGCAGGCCAGGAACCCTGGCGCGGACGCCGGCATCACTAGACAAGGTGCCCACGAAGGCCGAGCCCGCGTTGCTGGAGCCCTGCAGCGCGCCAGGCGGCTTCGCCGCCTCAAGGCGGCAGGAGCGGAAATCGACCTTATACACAAGGCAGGGCCGACGGCCAGCATGATCTGGAAGCGCGCGGTGACGGGCATCGCAGACGGGGAGCTGCACAGCTGGCGGCTGACAGCGCGCCGCTGCGCGGGACGGCTGCCACGCGGTGCTGCCCTGGGCCTGAGGCTTCGATGTCTGGAGCTGCGGCGACGGCGCGACCTCGACCCGATGGCGCTCGCCGCGAGCTATATGGTGCAGATGTTGGCGGCGCTGCTCCAGTCGGGGGAGTTGCCCTTGCGCGCGCTGAAGCGCGGACGGGAGGCGGCGGCAGCCCGGCGCGCCGAGGCCGCGTCGCCGCGGGTCACTGCGCGCCCCCAGTTGATGCAGCGGTGCCCGCCGTAGCCAGGATCGGGCGGCACTTCGAGTCGGGGCGGCTCCTTGCCACGGACCACGGGGACAGGCTGGATCTCGCGCTCCTGGGCCCGCGCGAGCTGGGGATCGAGGCAGGGCTCGGGGCGCGCCGCGCTTCCGACCGCCATGAGATGCGGGAGCTCTCCCGCAGCAGGGCGTCTCAGGGGCCGCTGTTCTGGGATGCAATCGCGCTGCTGCTTGGGCCTGGGGGCGACCTGGGCGAGCGAGAGCAGCGCGCGCTGATCGCCTACATCTCCGACGCGCACAGGACGCAGGCCAGGCTGTTCGACGCCGAGGAGCGCAGCCACGCCAGGTGCCGCTGCTGCGGGGAGGCGCGTGGCACGCTCTGGCACAGGCTGTTCGCGCGCCCCATGCTGGCGGCCCAGCGGAGGGACAGCGTGTCTCCACGTCTCGCGTGGCGCGCTGAACGGGTTCGGGCCCAGAGCGAGGCGGCAGGAGAGGAGTTCGTTCGCCACTGGCTTCCAGCGCCGCCCCCTCCGCAGGGCCGCCGCCCCAACGCCATGGGCGCGCGTTGGATCCGCGGGCCGCCCGACGACAAGCTGAACGGGAAGCTGTACTTGGACGGCTCGGCCCTCGAGCCGCAGTTCGGCGCCCTTCGCCGAGCGGGCTGGGGCATGGCGCAGTGCGACGACGACGGCGACCTCGTCGCGGGCGTCTACGGCACGGTGAGGCGGGACCTCTGCCCGCAGCAGACGGCCAAGGACGGGGGTACTTTGCGGCGTGGATGCTGGCCAACAATACAGGGCCAGCGGTCGAGGCGGCCCGCGTCGATTGCAGCTCCACCGTCTCCTGCCTCCTGCGGGACCGAGCATGCGCCGCGGCGCCCAGCAGGGCCAACTCCCACCTGGAGCAGGATCCACTCGTTTGCAGCGCGGAAGGTGCCCGCGCACTGCAGCCGCCAGGCCCGTGCTGGATGGGCGCCTCACGGAGGCCCAGCGGCGCGGGAACGACCGCGCCGACCGCCTCGCCAAGACGGGGGCCAGGCTGCATGCAGTGGACAGCCAGGCCGTCGGCGAGCGCCATGCCCTGGCTGAGGTGGTCGGCGAGCTCGCACGGTGGATTGGCTGGGCCGTGGCCATCTGGCAGGGCATCAGCGAGAAGGACTGCGAGGGCCTCCCTGATGCTGGCGAGCGGCGGCAGGTGCGCTTCGAGGTGCCGCCAGACCCGCAGGCCCCGCCAGCCGAGGGGGGCCCAGCGCCCAAGAGGCCGCACCTGGAGAGCGGTCGCTCGGCCGGCAGCGCCGCGGCCCTCTCGGCTGGCGCGGTGGCCTTCAGCATCCTCGGGCACGCCCTCAGCTACGCCTGCTGCGGCGACGGCGAGCAGACCCAGGAGCTGGTGGCGTGCACCAAGTGCGGCGCCTACATGGTGCTGGGAGGCCGCTCAGGGGCCAAGCCGCGGTTGAAGGAGCCCTACCTGGCCGACAGGACGGACGAGAGCGGGCGGAGCCAGCGCAGCCTGCGGGGGCGCGGACTCCACCCTGGTGGGTTCGGCGAAGCAGCGCCGGAATGACCGGGCCATCCCCGGCCTCCGAGGGCAAGGGCCGTTGCCGGCAGATGCCCAGGAGCGCCACCTGGAGCGGATCGGGGCCCTGGCCGAGCGGCCAGCGGCAGGCGGCGTGGACGCCAGCACCGCGGGCCCCAGCGGAGCCGCAGGTGCGAGCGGGCGCGAGGCCGAGCGCCCGCGAGCCGAGGCCGCCGCTGGCCCTCAGGCCGCGCCCGTCGGCGGGGACAGCGCGCCTGGGGCCAGCGGCGCGCCTGCGCCTGAGGTCTTTGGGGCGGCGGCAGGCGGCCGAGGCGCCGTGGCCCGCGACAGTTCCCTGGCGGCCTACGGCAGGAGCGAGGCCGAGCTGACCGCCAGCGCTCAGGCCGCTGCCAGTGCGGTCGAGCGCAGGCGCGCGCGCCGCCGCGCGGACCGCCTCGGCGCCAGGGCCGAGGAGAGCGGTGATGATGATTTGTGTTGTATATGTTCTTTCATATGTTGCATCTCGCCGAGCATCGTGTCTGTATTTTCATCGTTGCTCACTTGCTCGTCTCGAGAGTGTGGCGCGGTCATGTCATGGCGTGTTGTTTCGGCAACTGTGCGTGAGGGGTGGGCTTGGCGTCTGGGTGGGCCCTAAGTCAAGCCTGTCGGCTGGCCCGCCTCCGCCTGCCCCGGCCTCTTAGGGCCCCCCCGTTTCTGCGTGGTTTGGAGGGCTCCTCCTTAGTGCCTTTAAGGCCCCGGCTTTCATTTTCACTTTCACAGCTCGACAGAGCACGGGACGATAGCAGGCCAGCACGACATACAACAGCAGTGTTAGGTCGGGCATGACCTCAGGCAGATTTTGAGAGACCAAGGAAAATGATCCAACATAATCAAGACTCAATAGAGCACCAAACATCGTCAACCGATTTTTCTGGGATTGGATATTCCACTTGTAGAGGGACATGCCTGGTTTATCAGCAGCGCCGCAGATCACCATTTGCGGACGCATATGTACACACTCCACGCAGGCCGCACACGCACGCGCAATTGCACGCACGCCACGACAGACCTGCACGGCAGACCAGCGCAATGGAGCATATTTCACAGACCCAGTGGAGAAAAGCAGCGCTTCCCGTTCTTGTCCAGTCAGGTTCCTCAGATTGGCGACTGTGCTCGAGACATCCCCACACAAAAATATTGGAATGGCCTCCGGCCAGTGCCGCCGATCCGGGGCGTTCGGGATGATGATGATGATGGCGATGATGATGATGCTGATGATGATGATGATGTTGATGATGATGATGGTGGTGATGATGATGATGATGACGATGACGACGATGACGGCGATGACGATGACGATGACGATGACGATGACGATGATGATGATGATGATGATGATGATGATGATGATGATGATGATGATGATGATGATGCTGATGATGATGATGATTATGATGACGACGATGATGATGATGATGTTGATGATGATGATGATGATGATGATGATGATTGATGATGATGATGATGATGATGATGATGCTGATGCTGATGCTGATGCTGATGCTGATGCTGATGCTGATGCTGATGTGATGATGATGATGATGATGATGATGATGATGATGATGATGATGATGATGATGATGATGTGATGATGATGCTGATGCTGATGCTGATGTGATGCTGATGTGATGATGATGCTGATGATGATGCTGATGATGATGCTGATGCTGATGCTGATGCTGATGATGCTGATGCTGATGATGATGATGATGATGATGATGATGATGATGATGATGATGATGATGATGATGATGATGATGATGATGATGATGATGATGATGATGATGATGATGATGATGATGATGTTGAGGCAGCTTTTGAGCTTCTTGGGGGCCTTTGGGGGGTCCTTGGGGGCCAGTTGGGGCCTTTGGGGGCCTCTTGGGGGCGTCTTGGGGCCTCCTGGGGGCCTCCTGGGCCGTCTTGGGCCCTTCTTGGGCCGTCTTGGAGCCCTTTTTGGCGCCTCTTGGGCCCGTCCTGGAGCCCTCTTGCGCCGTCTTGGGGGCCTCCTGGGTCTGCGTAAGCCCTTCTTAGGACGTCTTGGAGCCTTTTTGAGGGCCCCTTGAGCCGTGAAGGCCCAAGAGGCGAACATGCTAAAAATGTAGGTTTTCCTAAGGGAAATATGTGGAAGCCCCCCCCCCCCCCTACCCCTACCCCTGCAGAGCCACCCCGGCCCACCCCCCCCCTTCAACTCACACGCCGGATATCACAAAGATATTAGATTGGGGGCGCTGGGCACGGCGCGTGGAATTACGGGAAACTTTCGGCGGGCGTTTTGCGCGCCCAGGACGGCTTCCTCAACGCGCCCCGAGATTCCCTGGACCTGGCCCTCAGGCCGGGGGCGTCGGGCCCCAGGCGTGCGCCGCGGGAGATATCATCGGGGATCCGCTTTGCGCGCGGAGAAGGGCCTCCTCGAGGCATCCCGCGATGCTTTGGCCCGCGGGCCTTGGGCTGGCGGCGCCGGGCCCCAGGCGTGGAATTGCGGGGGACTTTCGGGAGTGCGTTTTGCATGCTCTGAACGGCCTCGTGAAGACTCCCCGCGATTCCCAGGCCTTGGCCCCCGCGCCTTCGGCTGGGGGCGCCGGGCCCGGGGCGCGGAATTGCGGGGAACTTTCCAGGGCGCGTCTTGCGCGCGCAGCACGGCTTCATGCAGGCGTCTCGCGATTCCCAGGCCCGGGCCCGCGGGACTCCAGCTGGTCGGGCGAAGAGAACCATGCACATGCACTGATCCTGACCACCCCCAGCCTTGACCCAGGATCGGTGCATATGCCTTCCTGGCCAAGGTCGGCGGGCGTATGCACCGATCCTGGGCTCAGGATGGGCCTGGCCAGAATCGGTGTATGTGCATAGTTCCTTTTCCTCTAAGCTGGGGGCGCCAAGCCCCGGGCTCGGAGTTGCAGGAAGGTCTCCGGGGGCGCGCGGCGCGCGCGCAGAGCGGCCGCCGCAGTGCGCCCCGCCATTCCCGGGCCTTGGCCCGCGGGCTTCGGGCCAGAGGCGCCAGGCCCCGGGCCGGGCGAAAGAGGGGGGTTGGGGGAAAACATCGTCCCAAGACCCCCCAGGCCCTCCAAGATAGCCTGGAAAAGACCCCCCTCCCGAAATGAGACCCCCCTCCCTTTATTACGAAATCTGGAGTAGGGGTCGGGCCGGGCGAAAACTGGGGGGTTGGGAAAGGGGGGTTACGAAATTTGCTGCGTGCAGCTGGTTTCGGCCTCACCGAGGGGCCCATTCCTCGATACATGGCCGCCTCCGGCGCCGGGAGGCGCCGGGAAAATCAGCTACGTGAGCTGATTCTCACCCCCCCCCTTTGCTATCCCCCCCTTTCGCCCGACCCGACAGGCCCCGGGCGTGCGATTGGGAGAAACTTTCGGGAGCGCGTCTAGCTCGCGCAGAACGGCTTCTCCAAGGCGTTCAGCATTCCCCGACCTCGGCCCGCGGCCTCGATCGGGCTGGGGGCGCCGGGCCATGGGCGCGCCATTGCGGAAGATTTTCGGGGCCCCGTTTCGCGCGTGGAGAGCCGCGTGTTCACGGCGCCCCGCGATTCCTGCGGGCCTCGGGCTGGGGGCGCCGGGCGCTGTGGACTTGCAGAAAACCTTCGGGAGTGCGTTTTGGCCTCCTCAAGGTGTCTCGTGATTCCCAGGCCCTGGCCCGCGGGCCTCAGGCTGGGGGCGCCAGGCCCTGGGCGTGGAACGGCGGGGAACCTTCCGACGCGCGCGCTGCGCGCGCAGAACGAGCGGCCTCCTCGAGGCACCCCTTGATCCCCAGGCCTGGGCCCGCGGGCCTCGGCTGGGGGCGCCGGGCCCCGGGCAGGGAGTGGCGGGGAGATCTTCAGGGCGACGTGCGCTTCGCGCGCAGAGAGGCCTCCTCGAGTCGTCCCGCGATTCCTCCTCGTCTGGCCCTCGGGCCGAGGGCGCCGGGCCCGTGGCGTGGAATATGCGGGGAACTTTCCGGCGTGCGGTGTCCGAACGCAGGGGCGGCCCCGGCCCCTCGGGGCGCCCGCGATGCCCGGGCTTTTGGCCCGCGGGCTTCAGGCTGGAACGGGGTAAGTTAACCAAACAGAGGACGTGTTTAACCACACAGAGCTGGTATCCGTAAAAACACGTCGTTAAAAACACGTCGCGGCGTGTTTCAGCGGCGTGTTTCAGCGACGTGTTTCAGCGACGTGTTTTTATGGAGAGCTCTGTTTGGTTAACCCCCACTCTCTCAGGCTGGGGCCGCCGGGCCCCCGGCGTGGACTTGTTGGAAACCTGCAGGAGTGCGTTCTGCGCGCGCAGCACAGCGAAGCCTTGGCCCCGGCCCGCGGGCCTCACCAGGAACGGAAGAAGGACGTACGTGTACATGAATCCACGCTGGTTTCGAGAGTACGCATTGCGCAAATGTTCGTATAACGCGGCCGGTCTCGCGGATCGAGGGGCCGTGCTCATGTACATAGCCGGGCGCCTACGTCCTGTTGTGGGCTCCCTACCTCAGGCCGGGGGTGCGCCAGGTCCTGGGCGTGGAAACGCAGGGGGAATTTTCAGGAGTGCGTCTTGCGCGCGGAGAACGGCCCCCTGACGGCGCGCCGCGGTTCCCAGGCCATGGCCCGCGGGCCCCAGACTGAGGGCCCTGGGCCCCAAGGGTGGGGGGGAGGGGGAGGGGGAGGGGGAGGGGAGGGGGAGGAGGAGGAGGAGGAGGAGGAGGAGGAGGAGGAGGAGGAGGACGAGGAAACCTTCAGGAGTGCGTGTTGCGCGCGCAAAAAGCGGCCTCGCGAAGGCGCCCCGCGATTCTCGGACCTTGGCCCACGAGCTTCCGGCTGGGAGCGCCGGGCCCTGGGCATGGAATTGTGGGGGGCCTGCCAGGGTGCGTCTTGCACGCGAGCTGCCTCCTCAAGGCACCCCGCGATTCCCAGGCCTGGGCCCGCGGGCCTCAGGCGG